TGAATTGCAACCAAATTCACTACCAGAGCTTCTCACATTAGGATTAGCCTACAGGACTTCTGGTGTGGCGCTGCCGGTTAATGCGGTAAACTGCAACGTCAGTTTAGGCCGTTAAGGCCAGCAGTTCCAACTCACCAGTTGCTCCTTGGAAACCCTGTACAGGGTCACTATGAGTCGGATCCTGACTCAATGGCACTTCGCAACAATAACAACAATCTTAAGATAGAACTAATGCGAGGAAAGGATAACACTGCTCTTAACCCCTTGTTGTTGTTAAGTGCCACTAAGTCAGTTCCTATTCTTAGTGACCCTGTATAGGGTTTCCGAGGAGCAGCTGGTTGTTGTTGTTGTTGTTGTTATGTGTCGTGGAGTCAGTTCCGACTCATAGTAACTCTGTATAGGGTTTCCGAGGCTGTAAATCTTTACGGGAGCAGAAAGCCTCATCTTTCTCCCGCGGGACAGCTGGTAGTTTCAAACTGCTGACCGATTCGTAACCACCATGCTACCAGAGCTCTTGCTTAATAATTTTGTATTGCACTTGCAGCCTTACTTAAGTTTTTATATACTTGGGATGTAATTCGTTGTCTATGAAAAAAGTCTGGGAAGTTTAGTAGCAAGCTTTTCTGTGTTGACTAAATTGCCATGTGCCTAGCTGTACTAGGTTTGGTGTTTCTTTGCAGTGAGAAGCAGTTGGAGTGTTTGCTGACCCACTGCATTAAGGTGCCAATGCTCGTCCTGGACCCAGCCCTGCCAGCCAGCATCACACTGAAGGACCTGCCATCTCTCCATCCTTCTTTCCACTCTGCCAGTGATACATTCAATGTTGCAAAGCCAAAAAACCCTTCCACTAATGTCTCGGTCGTCGTTTTCGACAGCATTAAGGATGGTAAGATCTTTTTACTGATCTCTTTTGAAATCACATTTTATCATTGGGTGTTTGGATAACAGAATTCTGATTGAAACAGAAATGATTCAATTTTCAAGAAATGCCACTGAATCCCTAACTTCAGGAAGAGAAGACACGCATTTTGTTCTGTGTGATATTCAGACCTCTCTGTGGCATGGTGAGGATCTTAACTCTGGCACTTACAACTACCTCATTCCCTGGCCTCTGAGTTATTCTGGAGGCTTCTTTTTTCTACCTTGTAACTTCTCAGCAAGGTGGTTTTCTTCAGTTCAGATGCCATGTTCCCATTTTGACATTGTTGTAGCCCTCAGCTTAAACCTTTGGACCCATCTCTGACCTGCCCTTACTTCTTAGCCATAATGAATAACTAACTCGTATAACACTTGCTTTTGCTTTTACAAGTGATTCTTAGATTCTTACTCATCTGATTTCCTTTATACCAGCCTCAATTCCTTAATGCAGCCTTCAGTAATAGACTTCAAGCTGCTCTGACTGCCTGGAAGATTCTCATCCTGTGTAGCATGCAGCTAGAAAATCCTGCTTTCATTGATTTATTCTCTGAAGAGAATAATATAGTAGTCTATACTTGATTTTCACCTAGATCAAAGTCCTCTTCCTGGTGTTCAGAACGCATCCTTAATTGTCTTAATTTTGCTCCCGTGGGTACTTTCACCTCTGCCCTCCCACCCATTACACTATAGCTATTAGTGTCTTCACACATATGTGCAGGTGGAATGGAGTCAGGAAGGGGAGACATGGCAGATGAACCAAGGTGTAATGGGGGAACTAAATGGTGTGGGCCCTGGTAGCCATGATAGACTTTGACTTCAATTTGGAAGATCATGAGGGGTCATTGGAGGGTTTGGGGTAGAGGAGCAATGTGATGTGATGTGATGTATGCTATAAAAAGGTCAGACTGGCTGCTCTGGGAGGAGTAGCCTGTGAGAGGCTAAAGTTGAAATGTAGACAGGAGGGGAAAGTTGGCTTGGATCAGGGAGCTGCATGAAGGTGGTGAGAAGTGGTTGGACTCTGGATATTTTGAAGGTCAACTCAACACTTGATGAGTGAGGCATTGAAGAACATCTGCCTTCTTATTCTAATTACTGGACTTTTATTTAAAATCATATCCATGCTGTGGAAATAGGAGGGGGCTTCAAAAAGTTCATGGGAAGATTCCATTATCCTTTCATTCCATTTTTCCATGAACATTTTGAAGCCCCCTTGTTCTGTGTGGTCACAACACATTGTAGACTACGTCACTATCAGTTGAATAGTATCATGATAAATAGAGAAAAAGTCCAAGATTTTATTTTACTTCATCCATAATCAGTGCTCATGAAAGCAGTCAAGATATCAAATGACATATTGGCATTGGGCAAATCTGCTTTCAAAAGACCTCTTGAAAGTGTTGAAGAGCAAAGATGTCACTTTGAGGACTAAAGTGCCCCTGATCTAAGCCATAGAATTTTCAATCACCTCATATGTATGGTAAAGCTGGACAATGAATAAGGAAGAATTGATGCATTTGAATTATGGTGTTGATGAAGAATATTGATAGTACCATGGACTGTCAGAAGAACAAACAAATCTGTCTTGGAAGAAGTACAGCCAGAATGCTCCTTGGAAGAGGGTGGCCAGACTTTGTCTCACATACTTTGGATATGTCATCGTGTCCATTGTCTGGAGAAGGACGTCATGCTTGGTAAAGTAGAAGGTCAACAAAAAAGAGGAAGACCCTCAACAACAAAATGTGTTGACACCGTGGCTACCACCAAGGGCTCAAATAGTCCGACAACAGTTGTGAGGATGGTGCCGGATCAGGCAGTGGTATGTTCTGTTGGACATAGGCTAGCTATGAAGTTGGAACCAACTTGACAGCACCTAACAACAATAATACTCAAATGCCCTTTTAAATGTAAGCTTATGTAGGTTTTTTTGTTTGTTTTTGTTGTTGTTGTTATTGCTTCTGTTGTTGTTTTAGTACAGTGCTAAAGATCTTCTGTTTAACAGAATGAAACATTGCTCATCTCCATGATAGTTGCTCTGTTTGAGTCCATTGTTTTGGCCACTATGTCTGTCTGTCTCACTGAGGGACCTTCCTCACCTTTGCCAACTCATTGCTTTGCCAACCATGATGTCATTTTCCAACAGTTGGTCTTTCCTAATGATGTGTCCAAAGTTAGTGAGCTGCAGTCTTGACATCCTTTCTTCTAAGGAGCATTCTGGGTATATTTCTTCTGAGACTGATTTGTTTGTTCTTCCCTTAGTCCTTGATATAGTCGGTATTCTTCACCAACAGCACAATTCAAATGCATCAGTTCTTCTGTCTTTCTTTTTCATTGTCCAGCTTTCACATATATATGGAACCGTTGAAAAGACCATGGCTAAGGTCAGGTGCCTCTTAGTCATCAGAACGACATCTTTGATTTTTAAAAAGTTAAGGAGGTCTCCAAAACTAGAGATACTCACACACAGAGGGGTGTATCTGATACATTTTCTTGCAATGAACCCATATCTTAGAACTCAGTGTTCCCTTTAAATTAAAATGTTATAAAGCCTTCTTTTTTTCCAGTGTCAGCCAACTCTACATTTATGGTACATATGAATCTCTTGCCCAGAATTGATAGCCATCTTACCCGGCTATGTATTTCAGAATCTGGTGGTTGTTTTTTTGTGCATTTTGAAGATCAGAATTGTAGCATCTTACTTCTCTCCTGTTTTTCACAATTCCTGAAATGTCAGCAGCAAGTCTGGTGCTCTTATTGGTCCTGATCATGTTAGAAAGCTCTCCCATTTGTGTTGTGTACTCCTATCTTTATCCCTTAGGAGATGAACCTTAGGAGATCATTGCCTTTGTGAGTCTTAAAGAACCATAAGACCTACAGGGACTCCTGCTGTCAAGTAAAAAGCCTCTCCTAGGTCCCCTTTGGAGTCCTGGTGTGGCGATGTTGACTAATGCACTGGACTGCAAAGTTGGTTTGAACTGCAAGGTTGGTGGTTCAAGCTTACCAGCTTCTCCCAGAAACCTATACAGGGTCGCTATGGATTGGAACTGACTTGGCAACACTTAATAACAACAACAACAACAGACCCCCTTCATTTGCTGGGTAACCTTCTTGCCTCCTGCTCATCACTCCCAAATGTTCTACTCTAGGGTTCCTGTTTTTCATTTTCTCATCTCAAACCTATCTGTGTCTGTTCTTAGATCTGTGATTGCCATTCTTCTAGCATTTCTGCCTTTGAGGTCCAACTCGAATATGACAGCTTCTATGAACCATTCTGCTGTCCATACAAATCTCTCCTTCAGTATTTGCAAAGTTGAGCATTTCATTGTTTCCCTTTTGATACATGTTTTCATTTGTCTCCTCCAACTACTTTTGTATCTTAAGACTATGGACTGTGGTCAGTGGTTCAAATCTACCATGACTCCTCAGAAACCCTATACAGAGTCGCTGTGCATTGGAACCGACATGACAACACTAAACAACACTAACAACAGCAATGTTATGCTACTTTAATATCTCTCATAATGCCTTATATAGTATCCTGCCAGACGTTGTAGTTAGGCATCCATTAAAAAATATGCTTGAGTATTCTATTCTTTCATGTTGCGTTGTGTACTTATTGTATTTTGTAGTTGAAGATGCCCATGCTGAAACATCTAAAGGAAACAGCAAACAGACAGTTTGGAGAGGGTATTTGGTATGTTATTTTTGATGTAATTATATTTTTATAGCAAACTAGAATAGAAGGATGGTAATAATCTACTGACTATACTATAGCGATGTTTTACTCTGAGACACTTTCTAAGGTTTATTTTTTTCTCTGAGGCTCGCTGACTAGTACTAATGAGTGTTTATTTAAGTCATGTTGGTATTCTCATTCAGAAGCTTGTATAATGCAGTAGATCTCTATGACTTTTGTGTGTTTTCATTGGCCACATGCTGTGGAAAGTGAATTGTGGTTATTTTCCTATTTCAGACAACAGATAAAGAAGTCCCTGGGTTAGTGCTAATGCAAGATTTGGTTTTCCTGAGTGGATTTCCACCAACATTCAAGGAAACTAATCAACTAAAAACAAAATTGCCAGAAAATCTTTCTTCTAAAATAAAACTGGTAAGAACATTACAAATAGAGCAATTAATGTAGCTTGTCACATTTAATGTGTTACTCTTCCCTTGTAGCCCGCTTTGTTCCAAGAATAGCCGACAAGCATAAGAAACAATTCTACCCTAGTCTGTTATCATAAAGGTAACGCTTTGTAAAGTAAGTAAAAAAAGTATTGCTATGAAATCATAGAAACCTTTATGAAACAAAAAATGCTAAAATGTGAAGCCATTATTTCTCAACATATCCTCTATCCAGGTCTATATACTTCTGAAGGTAGTATTTCCGTATTTCTAACCCTTCTCTAAGGAGATCTCGTAGCATAGTGGTTACAAGTCAGGCCACCAACCTCAAGGTCAGCAGTTCAAAACTACCAGCCTTTCTGCAGAAGAAATTTGAGGTTTTCTGTTCCCGTAAAGATTTATAGCCTCAGAAACCCTAACCGGTGTCGTTGTGAGTCAGAACTGACTCCATGGCACACCACCACTAACAACAACAACCCTTCCCTGAAAAATTCTGTGCTCATTGATTTACATCATGTTGTTGTTGTTAGGTGCCATTGAGTCGGTACCAACTTATAGTGACCCTAGGTCCAGTCCTGTACCAGCCTCACAGTCATTGCTATACTTGAGCCCATTGCTGCTGTCACTGTGCCCTTCCATCTCGTTGGGGGGCTTCCTCTTTTTCTCTCATCCTCCACTTTACCAAACATGATAACCTTCTCCAGGGACTGGTCCCTCCTGATAATATGCCCAAAGATAAAGAGATGAAGCCTGGCCATCCGAGCTTCCGAGGAGCACTAGCAGTACTTCCTCCAACTCAGATTTATTGGTTCTTTTGGCCGACCATTCTTCTCCAGCACCATAACTCAGATACATCAATTCTTCTACGGTCTTCCTTACTCACTGTCCAGCTTTCACATGTGAATGCAGTTATTGAAAATACCATGGTCTGGGTCAGAGGTACCTTAGTCCTCACACTGACATCTTTGCTCTTGCAGAGTTTCAAGAGTCTTGTACAGCAGATTTGGGTAATGCACTACATCACATTAAAAGGGCAGTTTTGACATCCTCCAACGACTCAAATCACATTCCTTTGAAAAGTTCTTTGAGTTTAGGGAACAAAAAAGGAGTCTTAGGGGAAAAATTGGTACTATAGGGTAGATGGACTACTGGTGTGGTGCTGTAGGAGCAGCACTAAACTGCGAACCGCAAGGTCAGATGTTCAAACCCACCAGCTGCTCCTTGGAAACCCTATACAGGGTCATTATGAGTCGGAGCTGACTCAACGGCACTTAACAACAACAATAGCAACATAAGGTGATGGGGTAAGGTTTTAATTTAAGCTTGTGAAATTCTCGTAGGACAGCCTTAGCACCCCTCGATGAATGAGCAGATGCATTGTCCTGATGGAAAACGATTTCTTGGTGCAGATTTCCTGGCCTTTTTCTCACTAATGCAATTTTCAGTGTTCTTAAAATGTATCCATAATAAGTTCCCACGATCACTCTGTGTCCATTGATAAAATCTAGCAAAGGAAATGAAAGTCAGGAGGGAGGAAATATCATATATGTACTGATACACATGCTTTAGCATGTGTACACATACTTAAGAAATGTTTTCAGCCACAAGAAATTACACTTCCCATTAACTTGAGATATTTGGAAAGTTTAATCATATAAAACCTTCACTCGTTAGTGGCTAGTGGAGGTATTAATGTATGTAGAATGTATACAGGTAAACTCTCCAGGCTTGACCATGGTGCCATTCATTAGAGTGGACCTTGGACTGGAGACTGGCCTGTGACATGCTTTTTTACTTCACCCTGATTGTTTTCGGAGCCATTGATTTAGATAGAGCACAGTCCATGTAGGTGTACTTCTGCTTGATATTATTTCAAGATACTGGTTCTTTGGGCAGAAAAATACAGGTGTTTGTGAATCATGACTATCTTTTCTGTTAGAGTCGAGGGCATTATGTTAGGCATAAACCAGTTAGGCATAAGCCAGTCAGGCATAATAAGCCAGTCAGGCTCTGGTTTCTTGGTTCTACGAAGACATGTTCCTTAAGTGCTGCCACTGAAACCTGACCATGTGTATCTTTTTAAGCCCTGCCATGCACTTCCTTCCTTCTCCTAGTCTGTGGCATTGAACAGCTTGAAGCTGTGGAATGGTTGGAGGTCAGGGCAGTGCTAGGGAGAGCGGTGACTGGAGCACGTTTACTTCACACTGTGGCTGTGCTTTTTTATCCCTACCACATCCCAAGGTCCCTTTAACTTTTTATTTCTATATTTTTAAAGATCTGTTGTATTACCTTTGTGATTCAGTGATAGGTGAGTGAGTTAGTTTTTTTCCTCTTTTTTAAAATATTTTTTCCATTACTCTTGGTGGTACCTGGACTACAAAGTTGGTTTGAACTACAAGGTCAGCAGTTCAAGGTCACCAGCCTCTCCAGGGAAACCCTATACAGGTTCACTTTGGGTTGGAACCGAGTCGATGACACTAAATAACAACAACAACATAGATAAGCCCTGGACTGCTAACTAAAAGATTGGTGGTTCAAATCCACCAGCTGCTCCTTGGAGACCTATAAGGGATTGCTATGAGTCAGAACTGATTCGAAGGCACATTAACAACAAGAGGCTAGGGTTGAATTACTTTTTAATCTATAGTGATTTTAAAATAGATACTCTACCACTTCTTCCCCTCAGTTTTTTTGGTACTGATTTGGGCTGCTAAAATCATAGTGGCATTGATTTTAGCAAATGTTTATTTGGCTTCTTGACTTTCTGCTTGATAGTTCCAGAATTATAGACAAATGTGTATGTCCTTTTGACTAGCAGCTCAAATAACAGTCTTGATTCTATTTGTAGAATTCCAACCATAATAACCTTCTAAAGGAAAGAAGGGTCACTCTTCATTCAGGCTTGAATATCCCAGGTCTCTTTGCCTGCTGACTGCTTTTGATATCTCTGCTAGTGAACAGGTGTGTGCTGCCCAAGTTTGTCAGCCTTAAGCAGTGCTGATCCTTTAGCAAATGGCAGTTTTTTGAATTGGTCAAGCAGCATCAACAGGCTCCGTGGATGCTAATGCCCCCTTCCACATTTCATAAGATCAGTTGGAGGTTTATTGGGACTCACAGGCTTCTTTTTATGGAGGCCAGTACCTGCTGAGAGGGTCAAGCTAATCATTCATAGCATTGATTGTCATTCGTTTTCCGGATTCTATCACCTTTGATGGACTTGAGGAGCCAGGGCTTCTGATCTTTGGAGACCAGAAAGAAAATGAGAAAGGGGAAGAACAGTGGAGTGTATTTGCATTAGCGGCCAGTTCTGTAAGGGATCTTTCTATGGACTCTACTTCCTGGTTTTAGTATGAGTACTCCGAGATGAGATGGCATTTCCTATAGTTGGGTTTCCAGTAGAATTTGTGAGCATTTATTTGTTTATTAGATGCCTGTGTGCCAGGGACTGTGCCATAGCCCAGCAAGACTTTTGGTTTTCCAGGGTACCTTGACAGTGGAATACAGGCGGTGAAGGTGGTTCCGGAAATCATCTGAATGAGACACTCCACATAGTTCAGCTGGGGGAGAGGAAAGGAAGAATAAGAGTGAGTGGGTGTTTCAGTGACGATGGGAGCAATGGCATTAAGCACACTAACAGCTTCTGTGGAGAAGCAGGTGTTTCGGGAAAGAAAGCCGGAGCTCGTTGTGATGTGTGCTGTGTTAGAAGTGAGTTGTAAGCATGCCCTCCACGTC